GGGGGGTCCATTTTGATTTGAATCTTAGAAATAACTCCCCAGTCCCTCACAAAAAAAGAAAAGGAAAAGAAATGATCAAATTCAATCAAACACATACATGTAACACCTAGCATTCACCTTTCAAACAACGAATGTTAATAGACAGAAGTAAAACACATATCATTATATTATGATTATAAAACAAGCAAGCGGGGAAACAAACCAACCACGAAGAGTTTGACTTGAGAAAATCATTGGTTTACTTTAAAAAAGAAACAAGAATTACGTACATGTACAAACATGAGAGAGAAAGCAGTAGGACTGCATGAGTTTGTAGACCTGGTGATGAAAGGCATTTCAGAAGGATAAACTACAAGATAACAAAAGAGATCAAGTGGTCAAGATCAGGATTTAACAAGTAGACTCCACGTACGCGCCCCAGCAAGTTCAGGGGTTCACAACCTTTTATACTTCAAGGCCCCCTTCTTACTGAGAAAAATAAATTAAAATTCTTATGTAGACTACGCCTTCCAATAAATCCGAAAATATTTCGTGAAAAACGCAATTGTAGGTTTATTGTAATCATATTATGATTTATACCTCCTCCCCTTTTCAACACGATTTAGATAATTTAGGAGGCGGCTGTTTCAACCCTGCATCAGGGCCAACCTGGGCTGAGAGAGATACAATGTCCCAGTAGACTGCGGAAGATATTTGAATATTATAATACTATAATAATAATTATAATTATAATAATAACAATAATAATAATAAAAATAGTAATAATAATATAATAAAAACAATAATAATAAATGATATAGTTCATTTCCTCTTTATGATCGTTGAACAGATATTTACAGAGTTCCGTCCACAGTGCATTGTAAACAACAAATCTTGAACTTTTCAAAAACAGTTCTAAGATACCGGTAGTCTGCTGCTTTCCTCTTGTCTGTCCCAGAAGTCTGCAACAAAAAAAATCGACCCCAAAGGAGATGCATGTTCTTTGAGATGAGAGTAAACGGAAGAAGCTAAGATCAGTGTCTGATATAACGTGAAAATATTTCTAATAGCGCCTACGAATAAAAGAAAAACTATGTTGAATGTCTGGTTTGAAGCAGATATGGAATTTATTAGTGAATTTTCCTTTATGTTTGTGACTTAATAATAATAATAATATGTACTACAAATGTGTAATGTTTTACTTCTGACATTGTTGGGAAGAGTAGTCAATCCCAATTATGAACATAATTTTATTTGGTGAAGATCTCTCAGTTGCCCTTGTCTCTCTCTCTCTCTCTCTCTCTCTCTCTCTCTCTCTCTCTCTCTCTCTCTGCTCATTCATTCTCTAGCTACCCCTCCTCTTGTTTCCTTTTCCACCTTCCATTTTCTTTTTTCTCTCTCAATGTTTGTTTATCTAGCTCTTCAATAATGATGTAACACAACAAAATCTTTCTCTCATAACTAACTCTTTCATGAAACACAAAACGATATACTACAAATATATTTTAAACTCATTTCTATAAATATAGTTGTGACCAAAAACAATAAAATAAACATATTATGTTGTAGGTGCGGTAAAGCTTGGATAAAAATAAAAACGAAAGCAGATTCCCACCTATAACAAGCTGCTTTGCCAAATAAATTTGAACTATCTCGCCGTAATTTCTACAGCGTTTTACGTGTGTATTACTAATTTGAGCAACAAGAAGAGCAATTAAAATATCTTTGTGATAATTATGAAGTGATCAAAAAGGGCTATTGTAAATTTCATGAATGTTTTAAATAAACCCTTCTTTATCTCAACAAAAAATTCATGCTGGTTGTTGTTCTTGTTATTTTGACAGAATAAAATAATGTACGCGCAATGACAATGAAACATGACAACTATATACATGTATTAACGTACAGCGCATACGTTGATGGTTTATGAAGAAAAAAAAAAGTCATGGTGTCACAAACTGTGGTCCGTAAAACTTTGTAAACGTGCAGTATACTGTTTTGGCTCTCTTGAACACAATTTTGAGAATTCATGAGGAGGGCTACTTTCAACAGAAAGATGAAAATATTTGAAAAAAAAAAGTAGATCTATCCTTACTGCAAAAATTGGATTTACCTATGCAGTGTGAAGATTTTAATCCTTTCACCACTGACGCCCATCCTCAGATTTTTCAGAATGGCATGGGAAAAAAAGCACATGTGCTATCTTCAAAAAAGACATCACAACTTTCTCAAGAAGAAAAAAAAAAATTATAGTTTTTCCCTTGATAAACAAAATTTTATTCTGCATTATAATCGAGCTTGTCCCTAGTTTCAAGCCTCAAATTAAGGTTAACAAATGTATATTCGTCATTTAAATGGGGCTGTAACTAGAAACATAGATCACTTGTGATACCATTGAAGTATGATCAGTGAAAACAGATGTAAATGTTCCTGGAATGGTTCTGGGCTGTCACATGAGTGCACCGTACTGTTGTGGTTGTGGTTTGTTTTGGACACATTAAAGGGCCTAGTATTTGTTGACGCTGTAATTTTGTACTTTTCTTCTTCATAATTTTCATCACGAGTAGTTAAACAGAATTGACAATGGTACAAATAATTACAACATCAAAATGCGAAGCAAATAAATAAATAACTTTGAGAATTGGAGTACCAACAACACAGAAACATAGTACAAGCTCTGCATCATCAAGATGCATGAAAAGTGTTTAAACTCGTTTCTTAAGTAGAGCAAAACTTTCGACTTCAGTTTCCCTGTAGCACATCAAAACACACCAGCACAGCTAATGTGTAGAACTGATTTCTAAAAACACCGAACTGAGAAATTATTTAGAGAACGTGTAATCAGTTGTTAATTACGCACTTCTGCCAAACTCAGGCACACTGTATTCTATTATCTCGGACAAATCGGCCCACATTTCTAACTTTGTTAGCATTACCGTATCATCACTGCTTCTCAAATTTAGCATCAGTTACAAATCAAGGTGGAACCAATAATTTCACCCCTATCTCAAATTAAATCATGGGTGGGGTTCTGAGAGAGTATCTAAACAACAAAACAAAACAAAAAAGAATCACCCCCTCCTCCCCCCCTAAAAAAAATTAATTAAAACAAAACAAAGCAAAATAAAAACAAAAACCCCCTGCTGTCATAAGCAGAAAGGTCAATAGACTTGATCATTAGATGTGAGAAACATTTCTGACAGTATCAGCTGTCAGGACACAGCGTGTTGTGACATAACGGTAACATCCACTTACACAAAAGAAGGCCCTGCAACTCTAATGAATAATATGTGTAGATCTTTTATCTTTAAAAAAGTGCTACACTCAAGTGAGCAAATCAATTTTATAAATAAATTAAAAAAAATAATAGGTGCTCTTTCAAAGTTTCTCCAATGCTGTTAACCTTGTTTTGTCGTTTAATTTCATGTTCTTACAAACTTGACATATTATTGCCTTCCACAGTGTTGGTTTCGTGACTTATGATATAAGGCTTTAGAGAAATAAGAATCACGACAATGTCAGCAAGACTGTACGTGTACCATTATGAAGATTGCCAGTCATATCAGTTAATGTGTATGTCTTGTACACATTACAGTCTCAAGATGCAATAATGTCTCTTCTAGATAAACAAAAGAAAAACCCTAAAGTGATCACTGTTACACTTAATCAATACATTAACAAAATTAATAACAGTTTCGACGCTATTAACGTGAGAATGCTTGGCATCAAAAGAGCAGTTCTATTAAAACCATTAGACGAAGATTCAGACCCATCATCTTCTTCTCCCTTCCTTCCTGAGCTGACGCTGTACGTTATTTGACTACACCTCGGGGGTTCCAATCCTCGGATCACAGTCCCCACAATATCTGCTGCTGCTGGGCTGCACTTTGTCTTTACTGTTTCCACAGAGCAGTTTACAGCTGTCTCGAAGAATCTGAAAGAGGGGGAAAAGGAAAATTAAATGCTAGAAAAGTAGTTCCCAATGGTTGTATAAAAAGCATAAATATGTGAAGAATAAATTGTCATAAACACAATCACAACATGAGAGATCAAATGTCTCCGCAAAACCCTTAACATCACAAGACGTGACAGGCAGAGAAATGAAGAAGTAAAAGCAGCTACTGGCACTGAGTCCTGCCTGCATTTCATAGAAAAATAGAATAAAATAGTTTCGACACTTTTGCTAGGAACTCACCTAGCCAGCTAGCCTCGAGAGCCTTTAACATCAAGCGAGGTAAGACAAGCTAAAGCATTATTTTCCATAGAAGAAAGACTAAGTTACTTCAGCTTCATGGCGACAATGATGAGACAAGGTACCTAACTTTTACTAATGTCTTTGCTTCAAGCAGTCTCGTTGTTATGTCCCCTTATATTTAAATTCTGGTATGATTCCAAAGAGTTTATTAATTCTAAGGCCATTGTAAGTGACCCAACGCCACCATTCTCACAGACCGCTGGATGATTTCGAAATTTCGGCTCTGGATCGATATTCTGTTTCACTTGACTGCATATCAGATCATCAATAATCGCACGTGATCGCCACTGTTGCTGTTTTTATCTCGTCGTCGTCGTCGTCGTCGTTGCTGCTGCTGCTGCTGCTGCTGCTGCTGTTGTTGTTGTTGTTGTTGTTGTTGTTGTTGTTGTAATTTCTCGTTGAATGTTCACAATAGCCTACACATATACATGTATATCGGGCAATTTTTACTTTGCTAAAGTGATATAAGCAAATATGGCATAAACTGATTAAACTGATCTGTGTGAAGGTATAGGCCTACCATAGTTCCATATGTCTGAACTCAACTGGACAAACCATCCAGATACGGACAATTTTTTCCTAGTCTCCCTCCCCCCTTCCAAAGAAAAAAAATAAAATAAAAAATGTCTCTGTTTCTTCTTCTTCTTCTTCTTCTTCTTCTTTCTTCTTCTTCTTCTTCTTCTTCTTCTTCTTCTTCTTCTTCTTCTTCTTCTTCTTCTTCTTCTTC